TTCAATCCTTCCTAAGTGCTAACTTCATTGCTGCACCTAACAATACACTTGTGGACTGAAAGAACATTTGAAATTAAAATATTCATTATTATTATTTAATCCATTTGTTTTTACTTTCTGTGAATAACCATTGTTACAAAAAATAAAACAGATCCGAATATATTATTTTCTCAAGTGAAATGCTGTTATAGTTCGTTATAAAAAAAAAATGTTCAAAATCTTTTTATCAAAGATTTTAATTCAATATGTCAAGTGAGTATGTTTTTATCGATTCCATAAAAGAATTTGTACCTACTTTACACTAGATGTCATTGTGCCATGATGTCCCTAAGCCATTTGTTTCTATTTCTGTACGAGCTCGTGCATGTTCTTTAAAAGAACAGTTAAATAGACAGTCATATTTCCTGAAAATATAGATCAATCATCATGGGAAATAAAAATAAAAGCATATTGCCTTTTCATTTACATTCAATCAATCCTGTATTAAGCTGGTCTTTTGTGAGTAAATTGTAAACCGTTTATAAACACCAGCAGTGTGGAAAGCTCTCTGGTAATAAACCTGTTCTAAGGAAATGTGCGTAATCCAAAAGCTATAAAGGCAAAAAGCATTGTTGTAATTTCTGTTCAATTTCACTTGCAGAGGCGTTTTAAATTAACTCTCTGTCTTTTTGTCCCTTACATGTTTAATTTTGGACTGTAGGTCCTTTCGTGTATGCACTTGAAACGAATTACAATTTTTGCTTTATGGCATTTTCATTCTAATTGGGTATTTTTTCCACGTAAAACCTTCTGACATAAAAATTGTAACTCGGAAAACTTTAATAATTGTAGTATATATCTTTTTGTGAGATATTTCATGTGACCATAGATAATGGAGTACGGTGTAATAAAGATAATTTTGCAAGACACAAAGATTTATAGATGTATTTTTTTTATATCACAGACCACTGATATTTTTTTTTTACATTAAAATATTGTTTATTTTACTTTTATTTTATGTTTGAAAATCATATTGTAATTATTCTGCTCATTTTGGGCGCCGAGATTGGCAAATAAAGTATCTGTTCGTTTGTTTGGTAATTAAACTAATATTTCGCAATTGAATAAAAACTGGGTATGGTTGTTTGTTGATGCTCAATATTTGTTGTATAAATGAACAATTTTAAAAAGAGACTTTTCTGGTAGTTTTGAAATTGTCTGCAGGAGGTTATTTGATAGATGTGATATGATCCGCCCAGTTTGATTTTCAAATTCAAAGGGGTTAAAAAGAGACCTATGGTATAACTTCGCATTTACCCTGTCTGTAACGACAAAAAAATCAACAATTTTATGTAAACATCAAAAAGTGCGAGAAATATTTCGCTAAACAGTTCGTTAATAAAAGTGCTAGTTATGTAAAGTCCGTGAACATCTAAAATAGAAGGCAGGCCAATGGTGGATCATGTTTAATATCATAAAGTGTATACGTGATATGGCTATTTATTATACTTCATGTCACAATGCCAGATTTTGATTGGTTAATACGAGGGAGACAATTTACTCTATCCTATGGTAAACACTCTATTACCCTTCACGGAGACGCTTGATTAGGTGTGCGCTTTATTGAATACGGATGGTTGTTATGTACAAGACGTCATAGTTTATTACTTTGAATTTGAAATTTAATAGACAGTAATAACAGAACATTCAGTATAATAAATTAAATAACACATATCTGATAGGGTGATAGAGCAGATTGTTACCCCTCGAAAAGACATTGTCAACCTTGGCTTCTCCTCAGTTGACAATGTTTGCTCGGGGTAGCAATCTACTCTATCACCCTCTCAGCTATGTGTTATTTATATAATGGTGTACTCAAACTGACATAGTGGATGGTTGATTTTAAACCGTTTTATTGGTTCCCATACATCAATAAACCATAACCCGGTGCGCATTTTGAAGAATGTGATGTCTCTATTACAGTGTTTCTGTTTTAGCACAACAGTTTTTAACACACGGACGAAATTCATTTGAATAGTTCAATGAGGATCAAGTACAGTTTTCACCGTCGCAAGATGTACAATAAATGTGATTCATCTGAACATAAAAACGAAAAGTGCATCCTAATTGTTTTTACAAATGATTATATTTGTTCCCACCATAGAAACTAAGTTATTCAAAGAGAAATTTCAAAATCTCAGTTATTGTTGGCCTATCAGTTAATAGTTACATTACATGTATGTTTCATTAGAAACCGTCGTTTTGATTGGCTGATAACAATCACGAGGCACTCCAATATTATATTTTATTTCCTTATAAATTACAACAGGTATGACCGCACGTGCTATCCGTGACATCGTTGAATAGTGCAGGAAAACGAAACGCTTGGTTTATCTCTTAATTTCATTGTTGTAGGATAAAAATGTCAATATAAGAATTGAATGCTTCTTTTAATAATTTTATAGGGTTGTAAAAGCGATGATCGTGCGCACATTTTTTAAATGTGCTTCAGTCAACGCTTTTTCACCACAATAAAACTATAAAAAATTTAAGAAGCATTCAATTCTAATCAGGATGATTTTTTTTCTTCATTTTTACAGACTGTGTATATGTTAGTCCGTGAGTTTTGTAATATACTTAAGAACTGAATGCTTCTTTTTGTAATTTTATTGGGTTGTAAAAGAGTTGACCGTAGCACGTTTTGTATGAAGCGAGGAAGCCTATAAAATTACAAAAGGAAGTATTCAATTCTTGTAATTACATTTTAATGATAAACCATAAAAAATAACGTGTTATAACAAATTGTTCGTTTGTTTTCCTATGCATTGTTGTGACGTTGCCACAGGAAGCATGTGCAATCAGGAATGTTAAATTTTATTCGGGAAATAAAATCTAATTTTGGATTGTCAGTCTATCAATAGTTTGGATTCTTATGAAACATACATCATTACATGGAATGTAATTGGAGATATTCTCGAGATGTAAAAGCCCTATATATAGTAGTACATCTCAAGTTAATTTGGTGTACGGAGACATGACTCCTGCATCAGCAGATTATATATTTTGATTGTTGGTGGGTGTCTTGTTAATGAAAATCAGGATGTGTATCTTCATTTTAAACGAATATCTATCTGTTAGTCTGCGAGTTTTGTAATATACATGGTTATAATCTAGAGATGTATTTGAAAGTACAGTTTAAGATAATTTAGTGTATGGAGACATAACTCCTGTATGACCTGCATCAGCAGATGAGGTATTTTGAGCTTGCATTTAATTAGTATAAATTAAAAAAAAGAGATGTGGGGCATGCGTTAAAGAAACAGCACGTCTGTTTTTAACTGAATTTATAGATGTCTTTTCAACTTATGAAGATGCCCCAAGGGTGAACCTGGTTATAGAAATACTGTGATCCCTGGATTTCTGACATCTAAAAGTGAACCACATTCTATGAGATGTTTAAATACGCTGCCATGTCCTATCGAAATAAGGACGTTAAATCTGATTCCTCGTGTAAGGAGATTTCCAAGCCTTTTGTACGTTAAAGAACACTTGCAACAACTCGTTGAGGTGGCCTGCTTCAAAGCAAAATTCCTGCTCCTATACAGCATACCCTTATTTTCCCGTTTACAGAGCCTACATATAGAATTTATTGTTAATTTGTTCTCGTCCTGAAAATGCATTAAATATTTGCCACTACTCTACTAAATCCGGTCTCGTGCATACAGTATAAAAAAGGAGATGCCAATGAGTCAAATATAATAGTATCTATAAAGACCAATTGACTGAGATTTGGACAACAATAAACAAAACCCATACACTATATGACACAAGTCTGATTGGGCATTTCGTGAACTACAATTGAGTAACCTAGAAGGAATTCAATCATTCATTGTGGTGAGCATTAACTATTTCAAGTATTGTAGAACATTAAACCATTTTAAAAGGCTATTTAAAGTCGAAATTAATTCTACTAAACCATGTAAACGATTTGGGAATTGAGAAAGACAGAAAAAAATATGACTTGGAAAACTTCAAAAGTAAGAGCTATTCAGATGTAAAATGCGCTGTAAAAGTTCTTTGTGACTGGATAAGTAATGGTCATTTATACATCATTATCTTATGTCAAGGGTGATGGATGACTGTTTAACGTCCAGAGGCAAATTTTAAAAATGCATATTTAGGATGAGAACATGTGGATGTGATATATGAAATTCAATATGAATTCTACTTTGTACAAGCCCGACATGCCATGTCAGATTTTTTTACGTTTAGGTCCATTATGTAACAGGAAGACGACACTCAATTCTGATTCCGAGCCGACCAGTCTTTGCTCTAACTCCTAAATGTCGCGTACGAAGCGGAAAAGCAGCGAATACCAATTTCCAAGTCTTGGTTTGACATAGCGGGGGTCAAACCTACAACCTCGTGCACTCGATGGATAACAATTATAGATCAAATCTTCTTTCTGAGTTAAGTTAACGTGGCAGAATTTTTGGTATGTTTCATATAACATTTTGAATCTAAATATAATTTCTTGTAAAAGTGTGCCTTCCTATTTCTTAAATTTTTAAAAGACATGTTTCTCACTCATAGACAAAGAGGAATAACTCAGTTTCACTGGTTGTACAAAAAACAAGTCGTGCATATATCTTGTAAATAAATTACTTATTCGATAAAAATTGCTTTGTTTTTACGAGGAAAGATTTAACTGACAGGCTGAGTAATCGTAAAGGGACCGATTTCTACTGAAAAATAAGAACAACACTTTTTGTTCATTTAAACAATTCTTAAGACATTAAAGTTTTTGCTATGTATGTACAGATCTCAATTCTTATCAGAAAAAAATAAACGACTTGAAATAACTGGCTAATTTGTCCCTCCAAATGAAGACCTACGACATTAGATATATTTTGTACTGTTTGTTAAATCCTTATTTTAATATTATGTATTATTTGTATTTTCAATTTTTTTAGTCTTTAAATAACATATGCTTCCTTAAACAGGAAAAGGAAACCCGGATTTAGGTCATCATGTTACCTGACTGTTTTTAAACTAAACTTTCCTTTGTTTACACTTGTCGTTAATGTTAAAAAATCGCAATGTTGTCGCTTATTTCTGCGATTAAGATTATATTTTTCGTATGCTTTATTGTATTTTGTGTGCAGTATTGGATGCAGAACAAAACATTTCTAACTGATCATAACGATATTGCAGAAATAGCACGGAAACACACCGGTGAGTATCTATATATAGTTGTATCTAATAAGGTTAATAAATAGGACGTAGTTCCTAATGCGGTGCAAGTAGATCTTCTGTTATCCGTACTCTTCGAAATGTTCTATCCTTGTTTAGCATTAGCCTTTCCTCCTTTCTTATGTCATCCTTCATTTCCGCTGTATTCTTTAATTTTTAGGGCCATTTTTCTCTATTCTTTATATTTTAACAACTCATTTTTCTATATTCTGTACTAAACCCCCATTCACACCTTCATGGATGATGGACTCTGTTTTATAATATATTTTTGTTGGTGACATTTCAGTAAATGTAGACTGTATTAGTTTCAGTTTCAGCTTATTTTTTCTTATTATAATGTGTTCTAGCGTGTATCCTCATATTACATTAGACGCAATTTAATCTTTAGCCCCCCCCCCTCTTTAGCCCCCCCTCTATACAAATATTAAAACAAACTTAATGATTTGTTGAATGTTGGTTGCTTAACGTCCAGTGGCAAATAGTTCATGCATTTTCAGGACGATAGCAAATTAATTAACAATAAATACAATAGATATGTCTTGTAATTGAGGCAGTCCGGGATAAGATCAGGGAAATTTCGACTGCCAGTGGAAAATAAGGGTATATTGGGCAGACTTTCCGTTTTGAATGTTCCTTGTAGTTCGGTATTTTTGTTATGGTACTTTTTATATTTTTTATTTACTTGAAAATACGGATTTTGCAAATTTAAGTATATGATCATGATGTTTCCAATTTTGGTGTAAAGATCGGGTACGCTCGAGACCAAAAGTTTTGGAAAGTAAAACCTAAACGGCATGTTCAGTCAAAAATCGGCTAAGGTAAACTTTGTATAATCATGGTCAGAATGATGGCGATGTGGTTGGAATCTTTATGAAAAATGAAAAGAATACCGATCTCCAAAGAAAATTCAAAACGGAAAGTCATTTATCAAATGGAAAAATCAACAGGTCAAACACATCTAACGAATGGAAAACTACTGTCATATTCCTGACTTGCTATAGGCGATTTCCTTATGAAGAAAATGGTGGATAAAACCTTGTTTTATAGCTAGCTAAACCGCTCATTTGTATGACAGTCGCATACAATTCTTAAACACTAAAACACTACGCGCAAATGTCCAAATCAAATGCTAAAAAATGAAACTAGTCGATAGGGTGTCTGATGATACATAATTGGAAGCCCAATTTCATAAATTGTATTCAAAACGTGTCATTTTAAAAACCATGCCAGACTACTACTTAGTAGATGGCACTTGATTGGTCACTCAAGGTACGGATGATAATAAATAAAAATCCAATAGATTATACTAACTATAGGCTACAGGATTTTCCATTAAAATTTAAATTAGTAGCACATGGAAATGTAATAACTGTAATTTATGTTAAATGGAAGTGGTCCTAAATTTTCACCAGTAGTTCGTCAGGGTTTTAGAATTTCAAATTTAATACAATCATGTAATATGATCCAATTTTTCAATCCAAAAAAAGCCTATATGGAAATATGTTTGTCAATATGCTTTTATACAGTGTCTAAATTCATTCTTTTGATATCCTTCATATAAAGTCCTCTTTTATTCTAGGGACGAAAGATATACAAGTATCGTATAAACAGATTTATAAAGAGTTGAAAAAGCGATTTCCTGGACACATATTACCAGAAGAGGATACAGAATGGCTGTTTATGAACGCCGGAGGATGGATGGGGAGCATGTGTCTGTTATATGCTTCTCTTACTGAGTATATACTCTTCTTCGGTACAGCCATTGATACTTCTGGAAATTCTGGTACGTATGTACACCATCACTCCGTGATGCACAGAATGAGAACGTTTAATAAGTATCTGTACAGGACTGTAAGAGTAACGGTTTAATGATTTTGTAAGGAATGACATGATGATCGTTCGGCTCATGACTTTTGAATGAAGGAAATAATTGATTTCTTTGTAATATTGTATGCGTTTGTCAAAGAACGTGTAGAGGTTGGAATGTCAAAAGATCGTTCAAGATTGTAAGATCACTCTCGGTCTCTTAAACACATCCGTTTTGATATAATACAAATCAAATCAAATCAAATTTCTGCACTTCCGTTAGTAAAACTGTTGATTTCTTCTTCAACAATATATTTAGCTATTTTTTTAAAGTTATCTTTTACGTTTTCCGTCAATTAGACTCTACTTTAGCGTCATTTGGTCTTTGGTGGAGAGTTGCTTCATTGGCAATCATACCACGTCTTCTTATTTTTATATTATAAGTCTGTCCCAAAATGAAATAGACAGGTCATTTTCACTTTGAAGGATGCACATATACATGTATATATATTTTGTTGTGTTACAAATAAGGTCTGGTTGTCTGTTTCAAAGATAAAGTATAAACATGCCAAATGGAGGCAAAAGTTATTTGAATGATTCCAATTTTTTTATTTCTTCTTCGTCTTCTACTTCTGTTGACAATAAAAAGTCAAATATTTTCGAACTTTATCATGTTAATGCGACTGAGTTACGATTGTAAGACCAACTACAAGTATTTCTTGTTCTATGCTAACAACGTGTCGTATATGGTAAGAACTATGCCAAATTGGTTCCTACTTTACACTTAGAAAATTAATTTTCATCATCTTTTCTGATTGATTTTGTTTAACATCCAGTGGCAAAAGTGTCATGCATTTTAATTCCACCGAAAACATCATTCATATTTATATATGATTATCAAAATTATTGTGTCAATTATCTAAATCATTGTAATAAATAACTTTGCTCTCCATTGGAATAAAAAAATATCTTATCTTATATCTTATCTTATTTTATTAAAAAATTAGTCCATTAGGTAAGTTTTGTAAAGTATTTCGATAGGGGTGAAGGGCTATAGAACTTTGAATTGCCACTGGAAGAAAGGCCATGTAAATAAGGATGAAAATTTTCCCTTGCAATTAGACCTTTGTGAGGCCACTGATCAATATTGGGATCTAAACGTAGTTTTGTTCCGCCACATGCAAAACAGGGACGCCAGATTGATTATAGTTTATGTAACATTCAGTTCAAAATATCTTTTGAAGCGGCAATATGGACAATATAGATCCTTCAGTATAGGTCAAGCGGAATGAAGATTGTGAAATTAGATTTGCAACTTGAAAAGGTTGAAAAGGACGATTTTGTTGGTAGGAACAGAATTTGTTCCTGAAACAGATTGCATCGGCGGTTTCCCTTACAACTGTTGTAAGGGATCTTTAACAAACAGAGAATGGAGAATCCGATTAGACACCTACGATGCAATCTAATGCGACTGTGTCACTATTTATACATCCCTCAAAGTCAAACTTACTTTGGTCTTTCACATCGGGTCTAGAACTATTGCAAGATAAGTCTAGATAACCATATTTCTTTACTGTGTGTACCTTTAGGCCAAGGCCGCAAGAAACTTTCACATAATATCAACTTTCATATGTTTTCTCCTCTTAAACTACAAATTAAATTTGAATAGGGTATCCTCTGTTTGCTCCTGATTTTTATTCATCCAGAGGAACAAATTGTTCTTTTGAATTTGAAATGTATATGACGAATTTTGAATTGTTGTGTTTTTTCCTTAGGTCGATATTGGGCAAATATATCTGATACAATACTGAAGGGATCATTTAGACAGTGGAAAGAAGGAGAGCTGGAAAGCAAAATGTTCAAACCAGGTATAACGTCGTACATGTAATTATGTTAGTTGAAAAGGTTTTTATAAGATTAATGTGTTCCTCGTCAGTAGGATAGAATGTGTGTGAGATAATGACAAAATATCAAATGCATATATAAAAAAAGTAAATAAACGTGTCAAATCAAAAACATTAACTGACCATCAGATTGACCATTATTTTACAATGTATGTGTCATCAAAGATACAAGTGTTATAATTTGGTACGACAAACCCGCGTTTCGTCTTCATAAGATAATACTTGTCATTTGCGCTCGAACCAAAGCAGTTAGAATGCCATTTCAATAACACCCAGCATGTTAAGTGGGAGGTTTAACCATTTGGATTCCTTTGATTTCGTCACTTAAAACTCAACAGCTTCAACCTATCACCAAGCCAACCATGGAAATTTAAATATCGGGATATGCGGGAACGATAATATGCATGTATTTTAAATATAGTTTGTTGATTCTGTCCTCTCTGTTAAGGAAGAATATCATACATGTATTTAAACTTTCGGGAACGGCCAAAAATAGTGAACACCTTAGCACACTTCTTCAAAACTTAAGACAGATAGGTAGGTACAAGAATACAACATATTTACTAGATGTATTCCCTGTTGGTTCCGCAGTTATATAAAATTATCTCGTACAAGGACCATTGTAAGCTGCTGTCATGACACACGTTTCTTAAAATCGACGTTGAAAAATTAAAAAAATATGAGGAAACTAGGGTTGCAACACCGTCAGACATAGGTGACTGTAGATTGATTTGGCTATTATTTTAAGGTCTCTATAGGTCAGAAGCTCCTCATGAATTCAAGTATTTACACATGCTTGGCTTTCATTTTATGTATGAGCTTTACTGATGAAAGTAAATACAGAAAAACACTTCGGGCGCAAACACTTTACCAATTTATTTCATTTTTTAAGCAGTGTGTCGATACCGCTGCTCATCGACTGCTAGTTCCGGAGTGCATCATCTTCTAGGAAGTCAGTGCTTCATTTATAACATACCTTTTTAAAAAATCGCCGTTAAAAATGAAATATTGAGAAAATAAGATTAAAACTGCCTCATGCAAAGTTGACATCAAATGGATGGTCATATATATAAGGTTCCGAACAAATTCAAGAAGTTACATATTCTTATATTTCAATTTTAGGAAATTGAGCTTTTCTGATACTAGTAAACAGAAGATAAATCCAAATAATAAATCAACCTACGATTGATTATGTTTGCTAAATGTATATTGACAAGTATTACATATATAAATAAACTGCTTCGCTAAGCGCAGCTAGATACGCCCGCAGAGGTCCAACCCTGAACGGTTGGGGCAAAAATGGACACAATATTCAAGCTTGATTCAGGTCTGAATTTGGATTGTAATAAAAAATTTGACATATTATAGGTTTCTGAATAAATGTAGTCAAAGAACTTGAAATTGGTTATATGAATTGAATTTATATTCAATTAAAGATTTCTTGCTGTTGTGCAATACTTAGTAAATCTGTTGTCAGACTATAAACAAATAAAGTTCAACTTATTCTCAATGTCATATTAGAATTTATGAAAATAAAAAGGGAGCTTACATCAATAGATAAAAAATAATTCACCAAAGTTTCATGAGAATTGGTGACAGCATTTTTAAGTTATTGTCCGAAAACTGGAAAATCACCCCTTTTTTTAATGAATAAAACCACATAACTCAGAAATGTAAAATGTAAAATTTATAAAATTCTAAATGACTTAGATAAAGGCAATTCAGTAAAGGTCATCGTACGGCCTTCAACAATAAAGAAACCCCATACCGTATAGTCAGCTATATATAAAAGGCCCCAACATGAAAAATATATATTTAGGACAACAGAAAATTATAGACATCTATATAGAGGACAACATATGGTCTTCAACAATTGACAAGACTTAGTATCTGACTATACTGTATGTCAATTCTTAATTGACCAAGGTCTAGACAAGTTAAATTATTTATAAACAAGTTTTAAAAAAGTATCAAAGCTATGCCGTCAACTCCAAACATCTATGGGAAAGCAGGGTGAAAATGGGTTGCTACTTCTGGTAAGTTAGCTGTTGGTTGAATAGCGTAATTCATTACTTTTGAAATGAACTTGATTTCAGAAGTCTCTATAGCCTCAAAAAACAACAAGGTGCAAAGAATCAGTCGTAGTTATGACAAAAAAAGACAAATAATTTTGTAAAATCAAATTTATTTAGTTCTGATATTTTATGTTTATTCTTTTTGAAGGTGACACTGTTTACCATGAATGGGGAGAAGTGACAGCTGTACAGTGGGAAGGTGGAACATGGATGGTAGAATATGCTAGAGGCTTTATTCCATCCACCCTCGGCTTTGCTCTAGCTGACACTTTATTTAGTACTACAGACTTTGTCAATCTCTTTTATATAATGCGAGTTTATACAAAAGCTTTGATATTAGAGGCATCGACCTCATTATTAGAATGGAAAGAATTTACAAAAGAAAGTTTATGATGCCTTTTGAACTATTTACATTTGGTAGTATTTTTTTAGTTTTTTACCTCTACCAAAGGATGGGGTAGGTTTTTTCACTAGTATAATATAGTCGATTGGTGATAATAGATTACACGTTTGATTTTGTATTTACTTCTGTTATGACAATAAAAATTATTACTTTTCTACGTTGGAATGTTGTTGATACAAACAATTCTCATTGAATATGCTCAGTCTGTGTTTCAGTTTTACTAAAACAAATCCAGTTTTATGAACGGTAATCATTACCTCGTCTGTGCATAATGCTGACTGATTAGGACTCAGCATTTAGTTCTCTTTTTGACTGACGTGTCTGTCCGTATTTTCCTGAGTCAGTTCGAAAACATTTCTTTTGTGTGATGATATTCTAAGGTATAAATGTTTGACTGAAGAAGATCTTACAGTTTTCATGTATCACTTGTCAATTCGCATTTTACTTTCATAACCTATTTTGGGGTTACAATTCATTGGTATCATGGTACCTATTGTGAGTGATCATGTGTTTGACCCCCTGTCAATACAAACACTTTTAACATTTAGGAGAACTCAAGGAGGTAATCACAAATCATTAGTTGGTGAGAAACATAAGATATCATGACAAAGTCACAAACAACAGTTCACAACACAACGCAGAAATCCAAAGATTGGGCAACACGAACCCCACTAAAAACCTAGGTGAACACAAATACTCCGGAAAGGTATAAACAGTTCCTGCTCCTCTATAATGACACCCGTCGTGTTGCTCATGTCAAGCAAAAAATGTTGATGTGATAGTTAAGGAAAAGAAGATGACATGTCGGCGGCGACGACAAGTGGAACATATCATCTGTAACATGTGATGCAGATATTTCAAAACCGTTAATTGTGATGATGATGGTGCTATCATTTTCGGGTAAAATTTTCGATGGGGTGGCTTCCACTATACTATTATGAACACTTGGTTCAGAAGCTTCCTTATCAGCAGCAGCCCTCTATAAAGGAAATTCTTACAGAAAACCCTGAAATATCGTATAAACTGGGAAATATATTTACTCATTATGTATAGGCGCTGATTAAATGTTACACTGAGTAAATTAAATGTTTGCAATGAGAAAATTGAAATCATCTGTTTAAAAGTTGTTTTTTTTTAATCGTCCTCACTAACCATCGAGTTGGATTTAGAAATCAAGTTTAACCTAAAATTCTAGTTCGAGTTTGAGTATCGAGTTAACTCGATTCTAATGTCAAAGTATTGCAATTAATTTGATTCTTTTAGGCTAATTCTTTCAAATTATTATCATGATGGTGTTTTTCTCTGGTGTGTTCGTGGTTTGTTCCATTTCAGGTGTCAAAGCATTATTGTTTTAGTACAAATTATGAACTGTAAATGCAGGTTCTATAGTCGAATTATTGTAATTAATATATATTTTTTAGATTATTTTTTTCAAATTTTAATCATATAAATAGTGCTTCAAGTTGTATCTGTTGGTTTTTTCCATTTCAGATGTCAAAACAATTATTTTATATACCGGTACTTTGATAATTAAATTAATTGAACAAAGAATTGCTTTTGGTAAAATTAAAATACGCGTAAGTGATCCAAAATGCCAAGTTTGACACATGCATGAGATTACCACTACTGTCTTTGTGAAAACCGCCAATCACTACTATGCCGATGATGAGTTTGTGCTAATAAAATATTTGTATTTGTATTTTTAATCGTCAACCTATTGAGGTTAAAAAGTATCATGCAGATGTACATATAGTTTCAGAATTTACAAGGCTGTTTAATAAGGCTCTTTGTTTGCCACGGTGTACATTTATATATTTTTTGTAAACCGACTGTCTCACTGAGCAACCATTCGATTCTGTAGGGGGACAGATTTGTACCCCCATGTGATTTTTTTAACCCAGAAAAGAAAACATTCTTCATTTCTGTATTCTGTACAAAATATTTTTTAACCATTAATGTTTCTCCGTATTGTTTATATTTTTGTCCATCCGATTCTGTATTATTTATATTGTAGCACTCCATTTTCTCTATTCTTTATTTTTTTTGTCCTTTTTCTGTATTATTGGTCCATTATTTTCTATTCTTTAAAACCTTTCCAGACCCTAAGATATTTAAAACATTCTATTTTTTTAAATTCTTGCCAGGTGTAAATTTGTTTTTCATCAAGTTATTCAAAGACATATAGAAAAATCAATGCCATCCCTTCCATCGGGAATTAAATTCTTGCACCCGGGTAACTAATATTAGTATATTTTTCAGTTATTTTTTTCACGAGGAACCTAAGATATGACATATTTAGTTAAACTTTCAAGTTAAAGCAGGGGCACACCACTTATGGGGCACACACTTCAAACAGTTCCGGAATAAAATCCATAACGACTCTGTTATTATTTTTAATATTTAAATTTGCTAATTTATGTCCGGTAGCTGATAAACAATCTTTAATTTCTTAAATCTGATCACATTATTTTCATTATTTTCAAACCTTTTTGTTTATGTTTTTCATAAATTTTTTTTAATTTTTAAATAGAAAAAGATAAATTAAAATTCTTTGTATTGTAAATATTTTTGAAATCATGCAAAATTTATTTAGATCCAAGTACGGAGTGGAATATTGGGTTTTAGTCGTATCGAAATTACAAGGCGGAAATTTCAAAATTAAAAGAAGACAAACACAGATCCAGGTAATCATGAATAACAAACCGAACAAGAATGGTGATTGCAGATAAACTGTATGTCTCATCATCTTAACCATGGTAGGCAGGTGTCGTCTGTGAAAGAGGACGAAATCCGTATAAGATACATTTAAAACCGTACTGATTTTGGCTGGCAAAATATTAAAGCCCGATCAAGGTTCATCAAACACTGAAACAGTCAAAAGGAATTGAAAAATTTTCCTTGTTTATACCACAAATCTACTCAGGGTAGAGTGGGTGGCGCATATTCGCCTTGGACACATTTTCGCCGTTTTGCTATTTTTTCTGTAAAATGTGTGTGCCTTTACCCAATACTTGCCTAAATAGATGGTAAAGGCTGTTTGTAATGTTACTACTGTTGATATTCCTCTTTATCCCATTTCCAAGGTTATTTGCACATATTGAGAAATAGGCAGGTGTTTTTAAATGATTTTGGCAATTATGTAAGATTTATATGGCAATCATGCGCAGTCTCAAAGTAAATATTTGTAAGAAAAATTGTATAGGAATGATCTCTCAAGCTAATTCATGTCTGTAATTGCAAACATTCGTTTTAATTATATACCAGGATAATGAGGATGGTCATATCATACATTGCGGCGAAAATGTGTCCCCCATGGTACAAGAACAACTTGATTTCCTCTCGAGTTTGCGTTCGTTTTTAGAACAATTAACCAATGTTTTGAAGATAATTTCCTTATCAAACATTTTTTTCATATAGTTAAATTTCTGAAACCTTCATAAAAAGTTCCAAATATTCGAATGTAGGTCGAATGTAAGTGGAAATGAACTAATTATGCGGCGAATATGGGTCTCTCACTCTACAGAAAAACTGACGCATCCAGGAAAGTTTTAACAGGTTAGGGAAGATCCTCTTAATTGACTTAAATGAGTGAAAGTATGAAAAAAAAGTTTAATTGTGAAACTGTGACAGTCAAGGATATAACTCTATAGGGCTACATTTGTATTAGAGAAAAATAACATACATTTGTTATTGTGGACTAAAAATAAAACTGTGATAACATATGTAACATTGTTACATGTTTCAAAGGGCCAATTTACATTATTTGTTTTATTAAAATGTATACAAGTTCTATTGATATTATTATTGTCTTTATGTATACTAAACTATAGAAAGATATAACAGTTAATAGTTTGCCAATCATGCATAGTACACCTATGTTATTACAGTAAAAATATGCCTGTAAAGGGTTTTATTACAGCTTCTATACCTCACATCAAAGCCTTTGCTCAGACATACATCATGCTTAATCACAATGAATTTTAATTTATTGTAAGAAATAATGATCAGAACATGTAATGAGGTTCTGCGCAAGCTTCCCAGTAATTCCCAAGTGTCTCATATAATAAGTTACATGCCTTTAATAACCAAACCTTGTTATTACAGATAAGTTTATCCCTTAAAATCTGTCTCATTGATATACCATGGTTGATGAAAAATGTATTAATTTCATTCGAAAATTAGTTATCAAGGCTATGTATTTAGTTTCTGCACAAAGTTTCAAGAATTCCCAAGTTCCCACTAAAAATTAAAATATTTATGATTTATTTAACAAATAACAAACATATGTTACTACAGATTTAGAAAATTTAAGGAATAAAGAGTAGACAACTCATGAAAGTATCTGTAATAACACATGGAAGACATTTTCTCTGATAACCCTACATGTATATAGTTATATCCCTGACTGTGTGATTTTTTTCATGATAATAGCTCAAAAATGGGTTAAAAATGGATGAAAAATGGGAAAATCATTAAAAATGGGTACTTTCAAACGGCTGTGGCAAGAAAAGAAGTGCACCACCATATTATCGGCATATGAATTGATTTTTTCTTCATAAATTACTTTCTTACAATCATCTAAAATGGAATTGGCCGCACTTGTGTTCAGTCTTAATATTTAAATATGTGTTGCATTTAATGATAATACATAACATAAAGTCAATTTCATATGGCTCTCATGGCTCTCTAACATACATATTTTTAATTGATAAAAAATGTTTGTGGAACCCAAAAAGATCGACATTATAGATTTTTTTGGTTCATGTTTATTAAATTTTGTAGAAATCAAAATTTGAGGTACTTTTGTACATGTTGTATGAGGAAAAAATGACATGACATTTAATCTACATGTAACTTGTAGAAGTTAGTTTTTGGTGGAAAAAAATGAGATGAGTTAACTCATGATTCCAAGTATTCTTACTTCCATGAGTAAAAAAATTCAGACTTGTTTATATGTCAGAGCTCTGACTAACATGACTAATAGTAATGAGTTGTTAAATGATCATTTAACATGCATTCGTTACAGTTGTGTAATCTATAAGCTCAGTATACTCTGAAAACAGAATTTTATATTCCTTATCCCAATTCCAACAGTATAATAATGTATTTGGCTGATTATTTTTATATTGAGTAAAATCAAACTGGATACATGTATATCCAGATATGAGCGAGGGTCCAACTGACATTTTGAAAAGAATAGGCAGCTCACAAAATAGCTCTTTTTAACATGTTTAATACATTTAAAAATATTTGTCACGTTTCTTTTTTTCTATATATTTCATGTAAAAACACATTTTTTCTCTAAAAATTATTGTGAAGGCATTTATTGTTTGAATTTTGAACAGATGTGAAAAGACATAATCATGATAATTGTCTAAAGAATTTTTTTATATTTGGTCATAGTTTTGTCGTCCGTTGTTTTTGTTTTCTCTTCATATGTTCACAGCAAAAATATAACCAAATGAACAAAAATTCTGTGACAATTCTTTTTTTTATTGGTACCAAATTGATTAAAATCCAACCAGAAATTATCCCAGTATAATTTTTGATAAAAAATGTAGTTTATGTATATATGAAATATACATGATATATATTTAATCATGATAATATTTGTATATTTCAAGTTTGATTTCTTTGATGCATTTCATGTCATGTTCATTGTTGCTTCACAATGAGTAAATTTAAAGTACAGTACATTTGGAGACTTACTACGACGATAGTCGGACATCTTACCTGTCCGTCATCTCATCTCGGACATCTCGGACATATGTCCGACAGTCATAAATCAATTATTTGTCAGGTACAGCTACCTACATGAGCCCTTTCATCCTTAACCGACACTAAAGACCAGCACGTGTTAATTGTTTTCTATCTTGAATTTTTTTTGAATTTGTATTGTTGATTAACTTGATAGCGTCCAGTCATGTTAGTCTTTTGCTTATTTTTTCAGAAATAAATGAGTTAAAAATAATACCATGGAGTCTAAGTATGAGAAGAAAATAGATGTAAGTATTAAAGTACCAGTTAAAATAGGGCTACTTTTAGAATAAAATTTACAGTGTGGAATGTTATACCTTTAATTCAACTTTATGATGTTTACCATGTTATATAACTGCCTTAACATGATTGAAACACATGTATATTAAACTAAGAATTTTTTATATATATACATGATATATATGTGGTATGAATAGAAATAAGAAGATTTGGTATGAGTGCCAATGAGACACCTCTCCATCCAAGTCACAATGTGTAAAAAGTAAATTATAGGTCAAGTACGGCCTTCAACACAGAGCCTTGGCTCACACTATAAAGGGCCCCAAAATGACTAAGTGTAAAACAATTCAAACAGGAAAACCAATGGTCTAATCTATATAAAAAATAAGAAACACTTAAGAACCACATCAACAAACGAAAACCACTGAACAACAGGTACCTGACTTAGGACAGGTGCAAACAAATGCAGCGGGTTTAAACGTTTTAACAGGTGCCAACCTTCACCCTAACCTGAAATAGTAGTGTAACATTACAACATAGAAAGACACACTATAAAGATATCAATGAATGCCAGTAATACCACCATTGTTTTCCCCTATTAGTCTTTGTTAAATTGGCACTTCTCAAAAAATTGTGCAGAATTTATCTTTGTCATGTTTGTTTCAAATAAAGAAATACTTGGCATGAGTAAAGTTTTATCCTGTCCTGTTCACATAACATTTCATTGCATATAAGATAATAACCATCACTGAAAGTTAACCAATCAAATTTCACCCCTTTTTTAGCTCACCTGGCCCAAAGGGCCAAGTGAGCTTTTCTCATCACTTGGCGTCGGTCGTCGTCGTTGTCCGTTGTCGTTAGCTTTTACAAAAATCTTTTCCTCTGAAACCACTGGGCCAAATTAAACTAAACTTGGCCATAATCATCATTAGGGTATCTAGTTTAAGAAATGTGTCCGATGACCCCGCCAACCAACCAAGATGGCCGTCATGGCTAAAAATAGAACATATGGGTAAAATGTAGATTTTGGCTTATATCTCTGAAACCAAAGCATTTAGAGTAAATTTGACAGGGTAAAACTGATTATCAGGTCAAGATCTATCTGCCCTGAAATTTTCAGATAAATCTGACAACCTGTTGTTGGGTTGCTGCCCTTGAATTGGTAATTTTAAGGAAATTTTGCAGGTTTTGGTTATTATCTTGAATATTTTTATAGATAGAGATAAACTGTAAACAGCAATAATGTTCAGCAAAGTAAGATCTACAAATAATTTGGCCAAAATTGTCAGTCGACCCCTTTAGGAGTTATTGCCCTTTATAGTCAATTTTTAACAATTTTTCGTAAATTTTTGTAATCTTTTACAAAAATCTTCTTCTCTGAAATTACTGAGACAAATTTAACCATACCTGGCCATAATCATTATAAAGGTATCTAGTTTAAAAATTTGTCCGATGACCCCGCCTTTCATCCATCATGGCCGACATGGTTAAAATAGAACATAGGGGTAAAATGCAGTTTTTGGTTTATTTCTCTGAAACTAAAGCATTTAGATTTATCTGCCCTGAAATTTTCAGACGAATCTGACAACCCGTTGTTGGGTTGCTGCCCCTGAGTTAGTAATTTTACAGAAATTTTGCAGTTGTTTGTTATTATCTTAGATATCATTATAATACAGTCAGGGGTACTACTTGTAAAAGTAATCTTTATTTACTTGAAGAAGTAAAAAAAATATACTTATATAAGTTAATTATAATGTTTGAATAATCTCCCCTTAATTTTCTCAAAAATTCACTTGTATTTATAAGTAAATTTTTTTTACAATCCCACAAAAATTCTCAAGTTTTGAGCTGTAAAAACATGCCTTTAACATGTTTAATGATTTTTTCCAGGTTAGCTCATAATTTTTTATTAGAGTTCAATGTTTCATCTCATTCATTCAACAAAGAAACTAATTGCGCAAAGATCTTTAAGTATTTGCCAAGGCCTTCAAAAATTGCTCCTTGGGGGATTGTAAATGAGCAGTGTTCTGAAGATAACAGACAAATGAGATTTTCATTGTCCATGAAATTACACTTAAATGATAAGTTAAGACACCTGCAAAGGACAGACAATTTAAAATTCTATTAGAGCAAAGAATTCCTAAGAATTCAAGAAAAGAAGATAGGATGACTTTTTCACTTATATAAGTAAAAAAATCTGAATGTCTAAGGGACATAACTAAGCCAATTTTTTTTTACCTATACAAGTAAACAAAATACACTTGTATAAGTATCCTACAAATTTACTTATATATGTATATTAATATTACTTAAATAAAAATTACTTGTACAAGTAGTACCCCTGACTGTAATATCTAATACTATTAATTATGATTTTAACCTTATTTTACATGATTTCCAAAGCATCAGTAAATATAGGTGAGCGACACAGGCTTTTGAGAGCCTCTAGTTTCCTGTTTACAAGCTTTAGTAACTGTGTAACCTCAAGTTCCAAAATATTTCATAGAAACACCAAATAAAAAAAAACTTTTTCGACCCTTTTTTGTATGCAACCAGATGTGACGTACGATGATCTGGTGGTATTACACCTCTACCAAAGACTATAGGACAAAACATGTGAATACTTGTAGGTCACTTCATGGCCTTCAACAAACTGCAAAACACATACATTATATCTTATTTTATAATGTTATATAGCAATCATAACATAATGTGAAACCATATAACATTTATAAAGGAGAAACCTAGTGGCCTGATATAAGGTCAGAACATTAAGTAACATGAAAAAACAAATGACAAAATGGCAACAATTATAAAGGGAAAACCAATGGTTGGATTTATACTTCAACAATAAACAATTATGACAGACAGCAACCAAAGACGAGTACTGGATACACTCTTTGCTTGTAGACAGGCACATAAAGAATATGGTAGGGTTAAACAGGTTTAGATATTTTTAATGCATCAATACATGCAATAAGGGATTGAAAATTCATGTATTAAACACATGTGGTAGAATAAAGATAAAGGACATTCGCTTAATCTGCTCCAGATTAAAATATTTTTTTAATAGACAGTAGAGAATATTATAAATTCTCCTATCATGACATTAAGAGTAATGCATATTTCATGTTAGACAAAGTAAAAATCTTCAAATTGCAAGTCTCACACACTGCAGATGCAATATACTTTTTGTGTCTTTTTTAACAAAAATTAAAACACACTTCATATGCATGTACGTAAATATTCATTCCAACCAATATTGCATAATTGCTATACATGTAAAGGAAATAGAGAAATAGAGACAGGTAAATCCATTATTAACTCTGAAAGATTAATTAACAACTTTCCACTTGCCACTCAGGAAGTAATGCAATCATTGTATGAGGATGTTGAAAATTGTCCTTGCTACATCATTTAAATTTGCTATGATTACTATAGGACTTGCTACAAGAGAATTACCAATTGAAATCATTGTTACAAGAATATAAAAGCAAAGAAAATTGGTATAAGGAGGAAATCTCACAATATGAACAGACATCTAGTTATGGTCATGGAAGATCTGATAAAAATGACAAGGAATTTAGAGTGAAAGAAGCAGAACTGAAAGAAAAGGTATATTTACACAAAAGCTTGATATTTCATAAATCTTATCATTACTGTTATCAACATCTAATTACTTACCATGCTTACAGTTGTATAGTGGGAAATGTTCACTAAGTTTCCCAATTAAGATAAATCAATAAACATGATAAAGAAAGATTTGATTAATTGACAAGAAAGACATGAAAAATAGAAAGAGTTGCGCCATGAGCGCAAGATATGCCTGTCATCCTTTTTAGCTCATCTATATGCTTTAAATGAATGTATGTGATCAGCTAGAAATACTGTGAGCACTGTTCAAATAGACACCCCCTCCAAAAAAAACAACATGCACCCAACCAATTGACACAAAACATCAATAATTTTGCACTATTAAGGCTACCTCAAGTATAACTAAGTTTGTGGCCTTGACTTAGGAATAAAATCCTTTCACCTTCCACAGTGTTAAAAATGGACGGTTTTTAACGCTTTTTCATTGAATAAAGTTCCGTAACTCCACAATGTCACATCAGAAATTGATAAAAAAAAAAGAAAAAAAAGGGTGTTCATTTTAATAGATATAAACAAGCCATCAAAGTTTCATGAGAACTGCTCAAAGCGTTTTTGTGTTATTGTCCGAAAACTGGAAAATCCCCCCTTTTTATGAATAAAGTTCCATTGCTCCAAAACGTAAAATCTTAAATTTACAAAAATATAAAGGGAACTTACAACAATAAATATAATCAATTCACCAAAGTTTCATGAAAATTGGTGTAAGTGTTTTGGATTATTGTCCGAAATGTTAACGACTGACAGATAGACCGACAACGGTATACCATAATACGTCTTTGGCACTAATAATTATAAAATATGAATTCTTTGAGGAGAAATATAGATTCTACCACTGCATCGAGTGTGATACGATATTTATCCACTCGAGACAGTTAAATTTTCAAATTTAAAACGCGAGGCTCGCCAAGCGTTTTAAATATTTAAAATTTAACTGTCGAGAGTGGATACATATCGTATTACACGAGATTTGGTGGTGGAATCTGTTTCTCTAATGATTTTCAAACAATACGCAGGCAAATTTATTTCTTCTTTTCGAATGATCTGCAAAAAGAATGTGTTCTTTCTATGTGACGTCATCAGGCATGGTCGCCATGGTTTCATGCCGTCACAATAGGAAATTCAGAGGAAAACAAGAAAATTCGACGTCATAATAGGATTTTAACCAATGAAGAACTGAGATCAAACGAACCACACGTTGATTAAATTTGTTTTATACAATGGGTGCAGAAAGGGATAAATTGACGAAGAATTAGAGAAACCACTTTAAAGTATGCTATAAATTTTACAATGAGTTCGACTTCTATTTATTGAGCTGCATGATCATTGTTCATATGTTCAATTGACATGATTGAAATTTGTTTCTCCAAAATGAAAATTATTTCTTAGTTTCTGTTTTCTTTTGCATTCCAGGAGGGATTTAATCTTGTTCTAATTTATATATTTTGTTGAAGGTCAGTTCTTTAAGGCATGAGTTAGAGTTAACTCAGCAGTCAGAGAAACAACACCAAGATAGGATAGCTGAACTAGAAAAGATTGTAGCTGATAATCAAAGACACAATGTGGAATGTAATGATACAAAGGTGGACTGTGATGAAACATTCGGAGTAAATACTGGAGAACAAGTGGCACAGCTACATGATGAAATTGTAAGTTACTTTTGACAATTACATGGTGACATTGTAAGTTACTTCTAACATTTCATTTTAAGTTACTTCTAACATTTCATTTTAAGTTACTTCTAACAAATACATGATGACATTGTAAGTTACTTTAGACAATTATATGATGACATTGTAAGTTACTTTTGACAATTATATGATAACATTGTAACTTACTTCTGACAATTACATGATGACATTGTAACTTATTTCTGACAATTACATGATGACATTGAAAGTTACTTCTAAGAATTACATGATGACATTGTAAGTTACTTCTGACAATTACATGATGACATTGTAAGTTACTTTTGACAATTACATGATTACATTGCAACTTACTTCTGACAATTACATGATGACATTGTAAGTTACTTCTGACAATTACATGATGACATTGTAAGTTACTTCTAAGAATTACATGATGACATTGTAAGTTACTTTTGACAATTACATAATGACATTGTAAGTTACTTCTAAGAATTACATGATGACATTGTAAGTTACTTCTAAGAATTACATGATGACATTGTAAGTTACTTTTGACAATTACATGATGACATTGTAAGTTACTTTTGACAATTACATGATAACATTGTAAGTTACTTCTGACAATTACATGATGACATTGTAAGTTACTTCTGATAATTACATGATGACATTGTAAGTTACTTCTAAGAATTACATGATGACATTGTAAGTTACTTTTGACAATTACATGATGACATTGTAAGTTACTTCTGACAATTACATGATAACATTGTTACTTACTTCTGACAATTACATGAAGACATTGTAAGTTACTTCTAAGAATTACATGATTACATTGTAAGTTACTTCTAAGAATTACATGATGACATTGTAAGTTACTCCTAAGAATTACATGATGACATTGTAAGTTACTTTTGACAATTACATGATGACATTGTAAGTTACTTTTGACAATTACATGATAACATTGTAACTTACTTCTGACAATTACATGATGACATTGTAAGTTACTTCTGACAATTACATGATGACATTGTAAGTTACTTCTAAGAATTACATGATGACATTGTAAGTTACTTCTGACAATTACATGATGACATTGTAAGTTACTTCTGACAATTACATGATGACATTGTAAGTTACTTCTGACAACTATATACTCTGAAGCAGATTTTGAATAGAGACTGTTTGTGCATGTTGTATTTTTTAAGTCAAAGGGGAAAAAACGTTTTGAAATTTATTATTTATACACCATGTCTTCTGTTCTCTTTGAATACTTAAACATATCTTATATATTTAATGAGATGATTGGAATAATCTTACCCATAGGATACTTTAACAATTCTTTATTAATCATAATCAGTAAATCAGGCATGTGCACTCTTGTTTATTCTTAGGTCAGAATTTGAATTAAGTCTTTTTTTTTCTATAGCTTGAAAGACAAAAATATATTATAATCATTATTATATATTTTGTTGCCTAAAAGTATGAAAACTAACTGGCCAATTCATACTTCTCAGATTCATTTTAGCTGCAGCAAAACACTTATTAAAACCTGACTCTCTTCTCCTTTTTATTTTTAAGTCTAATGTATTTGATTTCAGACAATATTAAAAGCCAAGTTCAGAACAGATAAAACAGAATTGGATTCTCTTAAAAAACAGATGGACAAATTGAAAAATACTCTTTTTGAAAAGGACGAAGAGCTTGTTGGTGTCAAAACAGAATGTACAACGTATTGTAATTTGTTAGAAGTAGGTATCAGAACAGAATGTACAATCTATTGTAATTTGTTAGAAGTAGGTATCAGAACAGAATGTACAACGTACTGTAATTTGTTAGAAGTAGGTATCAGAACAGAATGTACAACGTACTGTAATTTGTTAGAAGTAGGTATCAGAACAGAATGTACAACGTACTGTAATTTGTTAGAAGTAGGTTTTAAAACAGAATGTACAACGTACTGTAATTTGTTAGAAGTAGGTGTTAGAACAGAATGTACAACCTATTGTAATTTGTTAGAAGTAGGTATCAGAACACAATGTACAACGTACTGTAATTTGTTAGAAGTAGGTATCAGAACAGAATGTACAATGTACTGTAATTTGTTAGAAGTAGGTTTTAAAACAGAATGTACAACGTACTGTAATTTGTTAGAAGTAGGTATCAGAACAGAATGTACAACATACTGTAATTTGTTAGAAGTAGGTTTTAAAACAGAATGTACAACGTACTGTAATTTGTTAGAAGTAGGTATCAGAACAGAATGTACAACGTACTGTAATTTGTTAGAAGTAGGTGTCAGAACAGAATGTACAACATACTGTAATTTGTTAGAAGTAGGTATCAGAACAGAATGTACAATGTACTGTAATTTGTTAGAAGTAGGTATCAGAACAGAATGTACAACGTACTGTAATTTGTTAGAAGTAGGTATCAGAACAGAATGTACAACGTACTGTAATTTGTTAGAAGTAGGTGTCAGAATAGAATGTACAACGTACTGTAATTTGTTAGAAGTAGGTGTCAAAACAGAATGTACAATGTACTGTAATTTGTTAGAAGTAGGTGTCAGAACAGAATGTACAACCTATTGTAATTTGTTAGAAGTAGGTATCAGAACAGAATGTACAATGTACTGTAATTTGTTAGAAGTAGGTTTTAAAACAGAATGTACAAGGTACTGTAATTTGTTAGAAGTAGGTATCAGAACAAAATGTACAACGTACTGTAATTTGTTAGAAGTAGGTTTTAAAACAGAATGTACAACGTATTGTTATTTGTTAGAAGTAGGTGTCAAAACATGGTTTAAATCTAGCAATGATATGGTGAATATTTATCACCAACACCCAACTCCTCCAAAAACACAGCACAGTATAACAGACCCAATCAACCACCAACACCCAACTCCTCCAAAAGCACAGCACATTTCAACAGACCCCATCAACCACCAACACCAAACTCCTCCAAAAAACAAAAAACACAGCACAGTACAATAGACCCCATCAACCACCAACACCAAACTCCTCCAAAAAACAAAAAACACAGCACAATACAACAGACCCCATCAACCACCAACACCAAACTCCTCCAAAAAACAAAAAACGCAGCACAGTACAACAGACCCAATCAACACCCAACACCAATCTCCCCCCGAAAAACACAGCACAGTACAACAGACCACATCACCACCCAACTCCTCCAAAAAAAACAGCACAGAACAACAGACCCATCAACCACCAACACCAAACTCTTCCAAAAACACAGCAAAGTACAACAGACCCCACCAACACCCAACTCCTCCAACAAAAACAGCACAGAACAACAGACCCATCAACCACCAACACCCAACTCTTCCAAAAACACAGCACAGTACAACATACCCCACCAACACCCAACTCCTCCAAAACCACAGCACAGAACAACAGACCCATCAACCACCAACACCAAACTCCTCCAAAAAACAAAAAACGCAGCACAGTACAACAGACCCAATCAACACCCAACACCAATCTCCTCCGAAAAACACAGCACAGTACAACAGACCACATCACCACCCAACTCCTCCAAAAAAAACAGCACAGAACAACAGACCCAAAAACACAGCAAAGTACAACAGACCCCACCAACACCAAACTCCTCCAACAAAAACAGCACAGAACAACAGACCCATCAACCACCAACACCCAACTCTTCCAAAAACACAGCACAGAACAACAGACCCATCAACCACCAACACCCAACTCCTCCAAAAAACAAAAAACACAGCACAGTACAATAGACCCCATCAACCACCAACACCCAACTCTTCCAAAATCACAGCACAGAACAACAGACCCATCAACCACCAACACCCAACTCCTCCAAAAACACAGCAAAGTACAACAGACCCCATCAACACCCAACTCTTCCAAAAAACACAGCACAGTACAACAGACCCATCAACCACCAACACCCAACTCTTCCAAAAACACAGCACAGTACAACAGACCCCACCAACACCCAATTCCTCCAAAAACACAGCACAGAACAACAGGCCCATCAACCACCAACACCCAACTCTTCCAAAAACACAGCAAAGTACAACAGACCCCATCAACACCCAACACCCAACTCCTCCAAAAAACACAGCACTATACAACAGACCACATCACCACCCAACTCCTCCAAAAAAAACAGCACAGAACAACAGACCCATCAACCACCAACACCCAACTCTTCCAAAAAGCATAGTACAACATACCCAATCAACCACCATAACCCAACTCCTCCAAAATACAGCAAAGTACAACAAACCCCACCAACCACCAACACCCAACTCCTCCAAAAACACAGCACAGTACAACAGACCCCACCAACACCCAACTCCTCCAAAAACACAGCACAGTACAACAGACTCCATCAACCACCAACACCCAACTCCTCCAAAAGCACAGCACAGTACAACAGACCCAATCAACCATTTACACCAACTCTTCCAAAATCACATCACAGTGCAGCAGACCCCATCAACCACCAACACCTAACTTTGAAATTTATAACAAAACAATTTACGAAAAAAAAATATGATAGAAATGAACCAATGACAACCACTGAGCTACAGGCTCCTGACTTGGGACAGGCACATAAAGAATGTAGTGGGATTAAACATGTTTGTGAGCGCTCATTCCCCCCTAACCTGGGACAGTGGTATTACAGCACAACATAAGAACAAACTATAAAAATCAGTTGAAAATGGCTTAACTCATCAGATTGATACAAAGCAGAAAAACATCTAACAAAAACACAGACTGGACGTGGCAGGGTATTTACACATCCCTAACAACAAAAAAAGACATTAAGTACAGATGTGAGAGTACTCGCAGTTACTGACAGCTGGTTCAAAGCAGATAACAACTAATAAAAGAATTCATGCATTATTCTCCCCAGGGTTTTAGGATAGCACCAGGGTAACGAGTGTGGACAGCTTGGTGAAACAATTCATACAATCAGTTTTGTCGCGTCGCGTCGCTTAGCTATATTCATAGTAACTGTAGTTTTTATGCATCTTGTTTAGTTTTAATACCGTGGTACTGTGTTATGTAGACATTAAGTCAGAAAATTATTGGTAAAAAAGAAGTAAATCAATAAACAGTTTGTTTATTTTTATATTTTTTTTAAATATATAAAACATGCATAATTCATTACAAAATATTCATCTAAATTCAAAGTAATTAAATCTTTTATAAAATCCATGATCAATGAAAATAAAATATTATTCAAAAGAGAACAAAAATGTTCAATTTAAAAAACTTTTTTTTTCTAGTTTCTAGAAAGAAAATTGATGTATGTGAAAGGATTCCTGTCATTCATGTCATAAGGAGATATAAAATTAACAAGAACAAATATTTTATTATTTGAACCAGTTTCTATCTTAAATTTTAATAAGCCCACACCAATTTGATTGATAGTTCTTTGGATTTTCCCGCTGCTGTTTTGGAGAAATTGACTTTTCAATAAAAAAAAATAATTACCGCTTCTGCAAATTTTTGTGCTGCATGCCGCTCCAAATTTTGTTTCTCTTTGAATTTTTTTTTTCACATAGACGTTTTTATTGCTCCGATCGATTCAAACACACGTGTGATAAATCAAATAAAAGGTCAAAAATCGGGATGCCAACATGCAGTTGTGTCAGCTCATTGCCGTGGAGAGGTAGTTACTGAACACACAGTTATCCGAAATGCATCTCGTTTTATCTATGAAGACCTGTTCTAGGAGACAAATATTAAAAATCTGTCTTTAGATGACCATGCACGATTATATCAATGTTCATTAGAACCATCGTCATCCCCAATCATTGACATTGTTTCAACAGACTAGACCTGAATCTGAATAAGTATGTTGCAAGGCCATGATATGGCATCAATGGCAACGGAAAAAAGGCGATGGAAAATTAGTCCCATGATGTGAGAGCAACCAAAGTTTTATAGCTATCAATTGTCTTGGCACACACGAGATTGTTTGGTAGTCTATTCCAATAAAACATTGTTCTTAGAAAGAATGACTGTTTACATTGACTCTATGTTGTTCAGATTTGCTACGTGGAATTTGAAACACCGGCTGCTATTTTGTACAAATTTATCTACAATGTTTGTTATTTTATAGACCTATCTATCTTTGATGAAAATAATATTGAATTCCCATAAATTTTAGAAAAAATCACAGATTTATCTTATTTTGATGAAACCCCATGGCCATATGTCCTTGTTAGTCTATTGGTATGCAAGCAGAACTCTTTTGTAAGGGAAAATTTAACAGTTCCAACGTTCGAGAACAAAGAGGTGGTATTGTGATTGGCATTGTAATTAGGGATGTGTAATTGGTTCAATCACTTCTAGTCAAGCTAAAGAGTTTACAATGCATTGCAGCCTTTAGGAGCAAAATGAAAGAGTATTTTGCTGTCAGAATAATGCATGTGAATGTGGTGACAAGTATACGTATTTTAAGGGAATATTTTAATACATTGAGATCTACATGCATAACAATATAACTATCTTACTCATGATGTTGTTGAAATATTCACCTCACTCATTATGTTGATCATTAGTAGGTATGGATAAATAGTTCCAAGTGGACATCAAGCAGCCAATCATTACCATATATTGATATAATGAAAACAACTATATATAAAAAATATTTAATATTTTCCAGGGGCATTTTTTTTAGATACATACACATATTTAAATTTATTCAACATATGTCATTTACCTAACTAACATAATTCCTCTTGTTAAACTGCATCTGCTATGCTTCCTTAATATATACACATGCATGAATTTTAATGCAAATTCACACAGACGAAGCTTATTTCTCGAAAATAATTAAAACTAACTAAACCACAGCGAGACAAGAAAGTTGGGTATGGTTCATGCACCAATTCATCAAATTATATGCATTAGAGCATGTTTCTTCTCCTTTTTCTATGAAGTAACCCAGTTTTAGCATGTACGTAAATTCTAAATCGCACAATTTAAAAAAAAAAATTATACCGCTCGCTTCACTTGCAGAGCACCCGCCTCATAAAAACTCATTTTCAAGAAAAAAATACAATTAAAAAAATTTCGCTCGCTCGCCCCATATTTTTTGGAGCTTTTGTCCGAAGAACTACAAATCAAATTGGTGTGGCCTAAAAAGAAATTTTTCATAAATTTTAAAACATTTTGCCATAGATTTCATGTAAATATTAACCTTTCTTGTCTTTGGTGATAATCAAACATAGATACAGACTTAATACTGCACTGAAATCTAAATCTTTATTTGTCAGGATTCATTTAAAAAGAATTCCTAAATCTATAAATTTATCTTAGGTCTATAGATCTATAAGTAACCATATTCAATGTCAACAACAAAGTCTCCCTATTTACCCGCTTAAATTACAGGAAGTAGATATAAATAGATTTAACATGTGCTTATGGATAAAATTTGCAAGATTACTTCATTTATTCATTAATTATGGATATAGACATCTAGTTTGAAGGTACAGTCATGCATTTTATTTATTAAATAGAATAGATTGCAATTAATTGTAAATAAACTTGAATATTCTACGTGAACTAACTGGGTCATGTGATATGTACACATGTACGTCCCCTTTGAACTAATTGTTGACAGATACTATAGTTTGAAACCCGACTATCATGCAATAACTATGTCATAATTAAAGATAATTTTGTTAATGGTTTAATCAGAGACATATAATACTATAATATAAGAATTGAGAAATGTATAATTGTCATTTATACGTAATGAGCCAAATTTATTATGTACAGAAAATGTACCAGCGTTTGTACACACTGTTTTTGTACAAAGTATTTGCCTACATGTCACAGGTCAGCGCTTGGGTTGTGAGTGAAGCCATGAAATAGTTATGTGATCATAAAGTTATGATCTCTTAATTAAAACACAAAAGAATAATGTAACAAGTATTAATTACATCAATTTAATCCAATCAACAAGGTTAACCTCATAAGGTAAATCGATCACGTGGTGTAAACAATCTGGGTTTGAACTGGTCAATTTTCACCTGGAATTTTATACCGCAAGGGAAAGATTTAACAAGTCATTTCAAACTTAACCGATTTACAATTTTTTTACTGAAAATTTTAGCACCACGGAGAAAAATTATACATCGCGGTAAGACCGATAGCAACGCGCTCAAAAATTATACATCGCGGTCCTTTAAGGGCCTGGGGAGAACACTGAATCATGTATCTGAGACTAATGTATCATTCAGTACACATCCAATGGATTTAGTGTAAATACATCATTTACAGTTAGAGAAAGACATGACCTTGTTCTTTTTGTAATCTGAGAGACTGAAACATTGATTTTTATAATATCTTCTCCTTCACAGTTTATGCATATGCTTTTGATGACATAATTGTAACTTCACAAATGTGGTGTTGACATCAGATTTATTCTAAATATGAATGTGATAAAACACAGAATTGATTTATATTTTGTAGGTTAATAAAAAAAAATATGTTATCTCTCTTTGACTCTTAGTAATATTAAATCTGTTTGATATTTTCTATGTTGAAAATTGAAATTTTAGAGGGCATGATGGGCAACCAACATGATTTATATTAACCCAATGTTTATTGGCTTATTGACAGCTTACGTTTCTAAAACCACTAACAGTACTCCTCTTTCTTAAACAGAAAGCCAGAATGGAAAACTTAGAACTGACCACACAGCTTGATGTTCTGATGATAGAGGATGAAGAAAAATGTCATGAAAAGAAAGGAAATTCACTGTTCTCTGAGGTTTGACAATTACCAATGTATTCTAGAAAACATTAATGCTGGAATATTTGAAACAAATTTCCTACAATTGTTTGATTTATAATCTCAACACTGTTAAAAAAGCAAGTTGTGATATGTTTAACAGCAAATACATTTTGATACCATCAGAAATATTCTGTTGCATGTAGAATTGAAAAAGGTATACTTTTGCAATGTCAGACTATACAGTCCTACAACTTAGCCCAAGAAATCACATCAAAATGATGTTGGATTGAAAATCAGCTTATCAGATACACCACTTAGAAAACAGAAAATTTTAAATAAATTTTTCACTTCAATTATAAGTTTGTTTGTTGATGAATACCACATGTTTGGTTTTCTTGATAATAGGTGGTAATTGTTGCATGAAGAAATTAAAAGTAAATACATAACACTTATCAATATTTATAAATGCAAATATTAAGTTAATTACAAACATAAACATGTAATACAAATTAAAAATTATAGCATGTATAGGAAGACAAATTAAAATTTCAATTTTTTTTTAATGTGTCGGGGAAATATAACATCACAAACTTTCCTTCATCCTTTATAATATTTAATTTCAATGATTTGTTATAAAACTGTTAAAATAAACAAAATTTTAATTAATTTTATTGTTACTGTGTGCATGTCCTAGAGTGGTAAAACCAGAAACTGGACACATTGAGTATTACCATCTCTACTAAAAAGAAACTCAGTTTTTGTCGAAAAAGCGAGACATAGCGATCCTACATTCCGTCGGCGGCGGCGTCCACAAATATTCACTCTGTGGTTAAAGTTTTTGAAATTTTAATAACTTTCTTAAACTATCCTGGATTTTTACCAAACTTGGACAGAAGCCTGTTTATGATCATAAGATAGTATCGAGAAGTAAATTTTGTAAAAATAAAATTCCATTTTTTCCTGTTTACTTATAAATGGACTTAGTTTTTCTGCCGGGAAATATTACATTCACTCTGTGGTTAAAGTTTTTTAAATTTTAATAACTTTCTTAAACTATCCTGGGTTTGTACCAAACTTGAACAGAAGCTTGTTTATGATCATAAGATAGTATCCAGAAGTAAATTTTGTAAAAAAATAAATCCATTTTTTCCTTATTTTATTTTTAAATGGACTTAGATTTTCTGCCAGGAAACGACACATTCACTCTGTGGTTAAAGTTTTTAAAATTTTAATAACTTTCTTATACTATTTTGGATTTGTACCAAACTTGGACAGAAGCTTGTTTATGATCAAAAGCTAGTATCTAGAAGGAAATTTTGTAAAAAAATAAATCCATTTTTTCTGTATTTTACTTTTAAATGGACTTGGATTTTCTGCCAGGAAACAACGGTTAAAGTTTTTAAAATTTTAATAACTTTCTTATACTATTTTGGATTTGTACCAAACTTGGACAGAAGCTTGTTTATGATCAAATGCTAGTATCTAGAAGGAAATTTTGTTTTCTTCCAGTTAACATTACATTCAGTCTGCAGTTAAAGTTTTTAAACATTTATTAGATTCATAAACTATCCTGGATTTTTACCAAACTTGGACAGAAGCTTCTTACAATCAACAGATAGTATCAAGTGGAATATTTTTATTGATTTACTTCCTCATTTTTGTTGAGCCTGTGATTAACAGAAAAAGTAGGCGAGACACTGGGTTCCGTGGAACCCTTACAAATTTTTTTGTTTTAAACATCTGCTTGTTAAGTAATATTATCTGTCCCTTTATCAGCATGAGATGACAGATTTACAACTCTAATTAACCTTTTTATAATTGAGAGAAGATATGAAATTTTTACTCTGAAGGGCGTAGATGCAAGACTGTAAATATAAATGAATATCTAACCTAATAAGAAATTGAAATGACCTTTTCTAACAGGAATTTTTGACTGAAGTATGCAATACAAATTAAGTTATAACACATTCATGTGCTGTTTTATGATGATGATGCACCTAACCAAGGAATATTCTTAATAATCCACAGGGTAGATAGTTAAAGTTGTGATTATAAACAGTAGATGCAAATTGAGATTTTATGTGAGCACCGAATTTTACAGACATAAATATGAAGAGCATCACCAACTTGGCAGACTCTTTTACATGAAAAAAACTATTCATTCTGATAAAAGTTTGGGAAATGTTGACAGTTGAATAAAGCATGCTCACAGTACATCATCTGTTCAATTTTTCTATTCATAGCTTGATGATCGCAGAGTGGAAGCAGAAAAGACACTTATGTCTCAAAAGAAAACATTCGAAACAATGAAAAAGAAGAATGAGGTGTTAAAACAACACAACCAGAAGCTGAAAGTTAGTGATATTTAAACATATTAAGGATATACTTAGGTGAAATTAAAAAAATCTAGAATTTTTAATTGATGCTATAAGTCAGAAGAGCTTTAGTTAAAGAACAAACTAAACTTAAAATATAAATAGGTTATGGAGCTCCTTTTCAAGATATTCGTTTTTTTGTCGAGCCTGCAACTTTTGTCGCAGAAAGCTCGACATAGGGATAGTGATCCGGCGGCGGCGTTAGCTAACTTCTTAAAAGCTTTTATATTTTAGAAGATGGAAGGTCTGGATGCTTCATACTTTGTATATGGATGCCTCATGTTACGAAGTTTCCGTCAGTCACATGTCCAATGTCCTTGACCTCATTTTCATGGTTCAGTGACTACTTGAAAAAAAAAAGAACATTTTTTGTAATGTTAAATTCTCTCTTATTATAAGTAATAGGATAACTATATTTGGTATGTGCGTACCTTGCAAGGTCCTCATGCCCTTCAGACAGTTTTCACTTGACCTCGACCTCATTTCATTGATCAGTGAACAAGGTTAAGTTTTGGTGGTCAAGTCCATATCTCGGATACTATAAGCAATTGGTCTAGTATATTTGGTGTATGGAATGATTGTAAGGTGTACATGTCTAGCTGGCAGGTGTCATCTGACCTTGACCTCATTTTCATGGTTCTGCGGTCAAAGTTAAGTTTTTGAGTTTTGGTCTTTTTTTCTAATACTATATGCAACAGTTCAACTATATTTGGTGTATGGAAATATTTTATGATATATTTGTCAGTCACACAGGTTTTTTTTTTACCTTGACTTCATTTTCAAGGTCCATTGCTCAGTGTTAAGTCTTTGTGTTTTGGTCTGTTTTTCTTAAACTATAAGCAATAGGTCAACTATATTTGTTGTATGGAAGAATTGTAAGCTGTACTTGCTTGCCTAGCATGGTTCATCTGACCTTGACCTCATTTTCATGGTTCATTGGTCAATGTTTAGTTTACTTGGTTAATGTTAAGTTTATGTGATAGTTGTAATAAAGCTTTATATTTAGGACTATCAACATAATATCAATGATTAGTAAAGAAGGCGAGACATTTCAGCGTGTGCACTCTTGTTTTAAAATGGTGGGAAAAGGCTGACTCAGACTTTTACCTTATATTTGCATTGATATTATTTGGGTCTCAAATCGAAAGAAAAGCAATCTAGAATCTGCTTAAATTTTGGTAAATGACCTTTTATGATCTATTGAGGTCATGTATGAAAAGAAAAATGGGTGTTATGAGGCAAAATATTTTACCCTGCATTGTAGGAAAAAAACTAAGGAGTCCGAACATCTGAACCAAATTCCTAAACCTCACAAAATGTACATCCTACAGATATGCAGACTCCAAAGCCCCCAGTAATATATCTTAAGTTCTCAGAATTTTCAATGTTTACATATTTACTAAGAATTTGTTTTTTTCTTATGCTCCCTGTAAACAGTTATCAGCTTGCCACACAAGGACCAGTTCACAAAACGTAGTTTTAGAATTATAGACAGCTTTAATATGAGAATTATCAATAAAAAATAGTTCATTCATTTCATACTAATTTTGCATATCCTTATAAATCTTGATGAGTTCACAAGTGTATGAAAAACTGAATAGGAATTATTATTAGTATTTTAATTAGACCTTAAGCTGATTGTGGATAAAAAAAATATTTTTGTAAAAATATATACATGCATGTAATTTCAATTAGTTTTCAGTTTAATCAAAATTGCAATAATAAACTTGTAGTTACACATTGATACATTAATTATGTGTTTTCTATGATTAGATGCAGTTATTTGCAGCTATGGGGAGAGGAAATGATGATTCTGAGAGAGTACAACAACTACAAGCACAGCTAGAACAGGAGAGAATAGAAAGGCAACAGATATTGGAAAAAGTTAATAAGTTGGAAGAAAATCAGGTAAATCTAGTTAAACATGGTCTAAAATTTATACGGTTCACAAATATATATGTATGTAAGAATCTTTTCATTTTTCTTCTGTAATAAGTGGCAACAAGTGTATAAAAGGTTACCATTGTATGTCCATCTTTGTACCTAATTGTGTTCCATGTAATACTTTAAGTTGATGTCTACTAAATTATCTAAAATTTAGAAATGTTTCCATAGACTAATATGATTCAGTTTGTCACTCTTGATTTTTGCCCTTGATTAATCAGGGAATTACTCAATTTTAGGTTACAGTTTAGTAACTTTAAAGTAAGCTAAGGTCAATGTTGTTGAAATTTTGAAATATTGTTTTGCAGTTTAAAACATAAATTCTAACTTTGACATGTTTTCATGTTTGACATTTCTAAGGTTATGATGGCCTTTTGAAAGCAAAAACATGCAAATTTCAAGTTGACTTTCATTGGTTTAAGTTAGTCATGGCCCAATCATGCTAAATTATGAACTTTCGTTACAGGACATTAAACCTGATCAAATTCAACTTTGGCATAATTTAGATTTTTTTTCTTGATTTTTGACCTTCATTTGATAGCCAAATTTAGATTTTTATTTAAATTGTAACAATTTTCTGTATATAAACATGGAAGACTGTAATCATGGTAATGCAAGAACCAATTATGCATTCTGATTGGATAAACTATTCCTAAACTAGTGACTGGATTTTTGTGAAAAGGACAGAGTGATTTCAGCGTCTTATTTGACTTAACTTTTCACTGAAACTGAGATTTTAAATATAAGTCTGTTTTCAGGTAAACATAATTTAAATTTTAAAGCAGCTACTTTAAGATCCATGAATTCACAATGAATAGATAGGAAATATATGAAAAGTCACTTTTAGATACATAGATAGTTGATTTTCATATTGTTCTGACCAGCAACAGGGTCAAGAAAAGGTCATAACTAGTCTTGACTGATTAAAAATTCAAATGACTGAAATGAAATTCTTGATTTCCTTCAAATTGAATTTTGAAAATTACCAAGATCAGATATTTTCAACCCCCTTTTTGTATGAAATAGCATATTTTTTTTTTTTTTTTTTTTTCAGTAATAACTAAATCCTGACTGCAAAGCTTTTCTGGTTATAAAACGGCCACACTCTGTATTCTTTTATAATCCATATACAGTTAACTCTCAGTGTCTCGAACTCAGTTGATTCAAAATTTCTGATGAGTCGAAATTTTCTCATGGTCCTGAACTTTGTTCCATATGAATGTATGTATTTCGAATCCTGATGAGTCGACTCTTACTTAATTTTTAGTCCCAGGGTTAACAAAAGCATTTAAATAGCAGTTTCTATCTCAAACTTAATACACATATTATGTCAAAACATGACCTCTGGGATTAAAATAGACTGACAGTTAATCTGACAATACACCTGTAATTAAATTTCCGGTCATTGCCCACTGTATTGATTTATGACATTCTTTTCCCATTAGAGTTTACTTAGGATTTTCTTTGATCGCCATAATGAATAATTAAGGATACATTGTTATAGATTATGAAAAATTAGTTAAAATGTTTTAAAATCAATTAACCCTAATCATACATAAATGAGCTTGGCTTTGCAAAAAGTGAGGATTAAGCGATCAAAACCACTCAATCGGTGTTTTGTATTTTCTCATGCCGAAAAAAATTGCAATAAAAGAAAATGAAAAGAAATCTAAATTTTTCTCAAATCTCTTGTTTACAAGAATGAATGATTTGTCAATTTAAAAATCCATTAAGATCGATTGGAAATTTTTTCCTTGACTAAAAAAAAGGAAAACGTGTTACTGTACAAAGAAATTACTAAGAAACCGAAATTTCTTTTTTTATTCTAATGATAAAAGACCATTAAATACAGATTATTGATCTTTGACCAGAATATTATCCCCTACCCATTTTCATCTGGATTTATTTTAGACTTACCAACTTAGAGAGTTGATTTCCCTTGGTTTGTCAAACTACTGGTATTGGTTTGAGGCAAACTACAGGTATCTCGAAATATTATCTGGTCCGGCTGACTTAGACATAACAAAAGTCGACTGTATAAGTATTGTGTTAATGCCTGCAGGGGATATTGGTATAAGAATTTAACTGTTTGAAAACAAATGAACCAAACACTATAGTCCCCAAAAAATCACAAAAAGCACTTGAAATTCTTTTTCAAACCCTGGAATTTTATATTAGGAGCAAATGCATGAACCAACTAAGTTTGTACCACAGTTTTTGAATGAACAACACCTCTTTCACAATACTTACATACATTTAACATTTCCTTATTATATCAGTATATGACCTTTAATGATGTCACAATCACATTGTTTATGACATCATTGCTCCTGAACTATCTATTTTTAATTTAATATTATATCAGCTTGATATAAACAGAACAACAGAAATCTTAAAAAAAAGAATAACCAGTGAAATATTTTGACAGAGAACAGGGGCAGACCCAGGATAGTTGAAAGGGGTGTAATTCCATAAAACACCGATAGGAGCAAGGTGAAAAAAATTGGGACAATTATATATTTTCCAATCAAGGAGGACAGGGGTACGCATTCTGCCACTGGAAAAGGCCTGTATTGCTACCTTTTCTTTGACAAAGTCACAACTTCTAAAACTTAACCTATGGTTTGATTGCATTTATAAGATAATTTTTATTACAGAGGATGACCTTGAGGTCACTCCGATGTATTGCTATCGCCTAAGTTTCCATTATGCAAATTAGTTTTGGGATTTCAACCGATCTATAAAAATTATAGATCCGCGGTCATTACAAGGGAAAAAAGTGCATTTTTATACCTTCGTACGATGTTTCATCAAAAAATGGAATCATTTCAGTTGTTGATTTAGTACTGAAAATTTGACTGAATTATCTCCTTATTAAATACGGTTTTATATGTTTAATAGGTGTTTAAGAAAGAGGTCAGGTGCTCATGTTCATTCATAAAATTATCGTTCATTCATGAATTTATCGTAAAATCAAAATCACTACACAGGTCACACAGGTTGTATACGTAGTGTCAAAAGATTACCTGTATAGTATCTAAAAATAGACAAACTTAACTGACTCCCCTTACTGTAGTGTGTGATAACATTTTGATAGGGAATTCGATGTTTGCTATACCACTGTTCATTTCAACGCACTTTATGACGATACCACTTTATCAATATGAATGAAATTTTTTGCAGTGTTTTAAGAAATAATTTTACTTTAAAATCGCGTATCATTTGTGAACTATTAAATGTTTTACAAGGACGAATTTTCTGTATAAAGTCAATAATTGTGTGAACTTTTGAAGCCCAAACTTTTTATAGCCTTAAATACGCTAATGAAAGATCCGAAAACTATACCCATACAGAACGACATGTTTTTGAATTTGTAGCAAAACTTTTGGTTGACAAATTTTAATTCGTTATTGCATAAATATTAACTTGAAATATCTGTAATTTTCTCCCTACCCAGTTTACCTCTATTACTCATTATGATGTGGACTTGACATTGTTATTGAATCTTATGCAATTTGATTGGATTAAGTTATTATTAGATTACCTTCTAACTGTTCATGCTTTTTCGTACGAGTATATTGATTAAATCAGAGCGTGCATGAATGTGTACAGAAAATTAAATGACCTGCAAACTGGACACTGGACCAGTCCATATTACGTTTTATCAATGAATAGATTTTTTTTTTATTTCCCAAATTACAGGGCCCATAAAGGGCATAAAATCAGATACAATTGATTTACATAATTGGTAACAATAACAATAATAGCGACATATAAATAGATATTTAGTATATAAGCATTGGTCAGAATCAGATGAACGAAACTTAAGGTATGAAAGGTAACAATTGCCACTTTTTATCTTTTCACATAATTTTCCACATACACATTAGATAAATTATTTTTGATAGCCTATTGCGGAGAAAAAATAGAAAGTTTACTGTATTAACGTTCTATTCCATTAAATACGCCATTTTTCGAAGATAAATGCAGAAAAACATTTATGAACGGCTACGCCAGGTAAAATTGTTGTTTATCCTAAAAAAAAATACAATTTTCAGTTTCATTAGAATATTATAATAATAATAAATCCCAAATTTATGTAGTCATTAGATAAAGTCCTTATATGTCCGATCTGCCTATTTTTGGACATCAAAAGACAATACGATCGTTTTAAGGTCAATTTCGTCTACCTCACGCAATCTTGTTAGGCACTATAATGAAATGGACCTGAAATTTATTTCACATGTTTCCTGAAAATTGATAAATATCAAAGCAACATAGAGCTGTTTGTTCTAGTTCGTATAATGACAATTTAATGTCATGTTTGTTTGTGATGACCCCCCTTTTCGGGATTGCATTAGAATTATAGTTATCTCGTATCGCATGAGGATGACACATGTCAACTGAGCAATTATGTTTGGGACTTAGTTTTAAGGAATGATGTCAAAGTAACATTATGAAAATATTTTTAGTAAGCTGAAATATATATTTATTTTTTACATGTTTATGTCTTGTAAGATATTTTATTTCTGTCCCGTTTTTCAACATTTGCGTCTGGAAAGTTGAAATGTTTTAACTGAATGGTTAATTTAAATTAATTATGAAAATGGTTAAAATTAAATCAATAAAGGAAATTATTGCCCAGTTACAAACACTACCAGGGGATAATCCATAATGATTTTTTTTTCAGTTATATGTTTCAGCACATGTATAATTAACCCCAACTTTAGCCTGGTAAACTTGTTGTCTCCTTGTAAAATATAAAACATATTTAAAATGATTTCCTGCTAAAGTCTTATATTGATATAAAGTTAAAACCGTCTTGCTTCTCACTAGTCAACACTCCTGTCCTGTCAGGTTTAATTCTTATATATATGGATGAAAAATAAAAGTCCTCAAAACATTAACATGGCAGCAATTGCTTTTACAGCCTTTAAGACTTTGATTTTTTTTTACAGAAGAGTGTCCACCATGCACTTGCATTACACTATAATAATAGTAGAATAGTATGATATACATATAGATGAAAATTATATATACATGCAACCGTAATATTAATATAATATATAACAACAAACCAGTGTATTCTCTGGAACTATTATTATATTAGTATAATAGTCTAAGGTATACTGATTTGTATCACTACAATATAATAGTTATTACGGTGAGGTTGAATTTCCTGTCATTTATTCATCATCCAAGCACGAACTTGTATAAGAAAAAAAAATCTCTGTAAATTAACCTCAGTTTCAGGTATAGAGATGTGATCTGTTTCTGTGACATGTGCTTTTGACCATCCACAAGAACCTGCGGTCATCCGATGTTCAGTACTTCAGTACTTTGATTTTCATTCATTATTTAAAGGCACAAGAAAAGATGACAGACAAGCTGTCAGAATTTTCACAGCAGATAACAAGTCAGACGGGTGTTGACAAGGACTACATTGAATACTTGGTGAATATGTTGAAGTCTAAAGAGTAAGTCTGAATGTTTAAGATTTTTACACCAAAATACTTAAATATGTATGGTTAATTTGGCATAACAATGTAGAAAATTGCACTATATTTTAAGCTTGGTCTACTTAAAACTTGGTTTTCTGTAACAAATATATGTTTAGCTAGCTTTGCTACAGGTCTAGCTAAACTCGACAGTAAAACATTGGTTTTACATCTGCCAAACTTCAGATTCAAAACTGCTATATCCTAACTCTTAAATTATTTATTATTTAAAAAATGATTTCTATTTACAGAAGGTACATCACAAAACTCCTATAAATCACTTTATATATCATATGAGTAAAACACTTGATAAAATGCACACACTTTCAAAATCGATGTGGATACAGCCACACAGTTTGATGTTAAGATGCAAATTGGGGGAATTTGAATGTTTCATACCCAATAGTCATGACCTATATTTGATGGTCCAATAGTTCTAAATAAGTTTAATTTCATGTTCAGTTATCAGATACTAAGTGACCTACAATTTTCTCTTAACCTGATGTAAGGATACATACAGAGAGTAAAAACAACTTCCAATCAAATGTAGGTCAGTATGACAAACATACATAAAAAATTTAATTGCAAATGATTTTTGTCTGACCTTCATTTTACTCTGAAAAATTTGACAACAGTCATAAACTTGGTATACATGTCTTAGTCAGTCTGCCTGAATAAAATTATTTCGGTAGATATACAAAATTTGAATTGTTTTCACTGTGGATTAAATAATCTTTGTATTTTCATTTCACTATGGATATTTTGCTTTACAGAGGTGAGATAGAAGATTTGTCGAGAAGGTTACATATACAAAGCATGCGTTTACTAGACCAGAAAAATAAGGTCACGGAAAAAGAGAGATTATTGTATGCAGCTGAGACAAAGAAGGATGAAATGTTGAGGAAGTTTCAGCAGTTAAAACTTGAAAAAGAAGAATTAGAAATAGAACTTAAACCAGGTATAAAAGTTGATGTGGTTGATAGACAACTAAAATATGAGACCAATGCCTAAAAAATAAAGATCAAGATATCCAAGAAAGAGAACTGAGAGAAAAAAAAAAAGTTGTTAAATGCCATACAGTGACCTATAGTTGTTTACTTAAACGTTATTTGGTCTCTGGTTGAGAGTTGTCTCATTGGCAATCATACCACATCTTCTTATTTTTATAATGAATACAAATGTTCGAAAAATAGATTTGCTAAAGTGTAACTCGTGTAATTTCCTTTACTACTGTTTAGCAAAACATATGTCGTGTAATGACATTAATTGATGAAAATGGATCATCTTTTTTTACCAGCAATATTTAAACCATGTACAAAAAGTCTAAATAATTTTCTCTTTCAAAACTTAGTGTCATTTTAGAAGAAGAAAAAAAATAAATGCGTTTGCAGATTTTCACAGGAAGGTAATTAGATATAAGAAGATGTGGTATGAGTGCCAATGAGACAACTCTCCATCCAAGTAAAAATTTATAAAAGTACACCATTATAGGTCACAGTACGGTCTTCAACACGGAGCCTTGGCTCACACCGAACCGTAAGCTATAAAGGGCCCCAAAAAATTACAAGTGTAAAACCATTCAAACGGGAAAACCAACGGTCTAATCTATATAAAAAACGAGAAACGAGACACTTATGAACCACATCAACAAACGACAACTACTGAACATCAGATTCCATCAGATATCCTGTTGACGACTTGAAATAATTTTTAAACTTTGAACTTATTGTCTTTTGTGCACCTGGATTTTTTTATCTGAAATTTTATGGGTTTTAGATAGCAAATCATAAACTTTGCCATTGCTTCATGTGGGGACAGGGTGGTATACTTTTGTGGGTATTGCTTGCAGTACCTTTAGTTTTAAATTTAGCTGTGAAATACATATAGATTAACTATGTCAATTATACTATGTATTCACAAATTGTTTTTCACTCTTCTTTTAGAGATGAAAAAGGCACAAAAGCCAGTAGGAAGAACAGAGCAGATACCAACAGGCCTAGAAGGTATTGAAGAGAAAAATGTGTCAGTTTTACGAGAAAGAACAAGTGATAATGAATACAAAGGTGCAGATAGAGAGTGGGCTTTAAATCTATTGAAAAAGGTAGAAGAAGACAAAAAGAAAGATCAAATTAGGTCAAGGTCAGTCAGAATGTCGGATGACGTTGATGTATTTGATGCAGATGGACAGATGAATACAACTTCATTAAAAGATGATGAGAATTATAGAAGACTTATTAGGGATAAACCTTCTCAAGGCAAAGTAACTGTTTGTACACGAAAAGCATCAGAACCTAAATATAAAGTAGATGATTGTAATACCCAATAAATATATATATATATGTACTTTCTATTATGTAATTATGTAATATTATTTTCATTGGTAATAGAATGATATTATATTCAAATTTTAGGACAGGGCTATACTTTCTTCCAATAAATATATTCATCACACTTTTGTAAGGGGGCCTCGGTGGCCGAGTGGTCTAAGTAGTTACTACTGTAATCACTAGCCAGTCAACACTGAGGTTGTGAGTTCGAACCCCGCTTGTGCGGGTGCACTTGACCCTATATCTTAATTGACTAGGATTGTCAGTTTTTCTATCGAAGGTCGTGGTTTTCTCCAGGCACTCCGGCTTCCTCCACCAATAAAAACTGGCCGCCAAGAAATAGACCAAAGTGTTGCTTAAAAGTGGCTTTAAAATACCAAAAATCTAAAAAATCAAAAATCACTTTTGTAAGTAAATAATAAACAGAATGACTTTGTATTTGGTCAGCAGCTTGACAGTGATGTGTTGTAACACCTGTGAACTATCTTTAACCTGTCATTATATCTTTGTCCTGTTTCCTGTTTATTTGAATTTTTCAATATGTTGAATAAACTTTAAATTTTTCTTCATACATTTCTCCAATACTACAAAACAGAATTACTTCATATATGGCCAGCACTTCAACAGTGATGAGTTGTAATATGTGTTTGCTTTTTGGGCCTATCAAACATCTAATTCCTCTTTTTCAAATACTTTGAATTAAAAGTGGGGACATGTATGCTTATCAAGACAATGTGTGCATTCTTTTTAAATAAAGTGTATGTACAGGAAAGGTCTATAAATTGCTGTGACTCCTTTACCTTGCACACTATAAAATATTTATCACAATGACTTATGACTTAAGTTTTTATGAATTTCCAGATTTGAAAATTGTATGGTATGCAAATATTATGCTTCTCATCCTATATCCAGTTTCTATCTGGTTTTTAACACAAAATGAAAGCATATTTATCAAAGGTATTTGGCTATACTTGTAAATGGACTGTGGTTTTAAAAATCACTTTGTGTCTTAAAACAGGAGGCACATAATTACTGGGAATAGAATTCAGAAGTTGAACCCGAAAACATCATAGAGAATCGTAATCCCCTAACTTTCTGTCATGTTTTATTGTCTCACCTGCAACAAAAGTCACAGAATGTGAGACATAGGGATTACATCCTGGAGCAACAATAGTGTAAACTATTTGTATAAAGCTTTATATTTTAGATGGTAGAAGACCTGGATTCTTCATACCTTAAAATTGAGAATGGAAACAGGGAATGTGTCAAAGAGACAACAACCTGACCAAAGAGCAGAAAAGAGCCCAAGCCCATCAATGGGTCTTCAACACAGTGAGAAAATCTTGCACCTGGAGACAGGCTTCACCTGGCCCCTAAACAATAATGTATACTAGTGCAGGTTATGCAGATACCTTGTGTCATGAAGTTTTCGTTTGACATATGTCCATTGTCCTTGACCTCATTTTCATGGTTTTGTGACTGCTTGAAAAAATTTTTTATATATCGTGTATGGACTATTGGTAGATGTAAATGTCTGTCTGGCAGGTTTCATTGACTGTGACCTCATTTTCACTGTTCATTGGTCAATGTTAATTTTTCATGGTTTTGTCAGTTTATAAGATACTAAAAGCAATAGATATGTTATGTTTGGTGTTTGGAATGATTGTAAGGTGTACATGTCTGTCTGATGGGGTTCATTTGACCTTGACCTCATTTTCATGAATCATTGATAATGTTAATCGTATTTGATAGTTGTAGTTAAACCTTCATATTAGACCTTTTCAACAATTGTCTGCACCCACAGTTGAGAACGACTACGACAGGTGAGATATGAAGGGTCGTCTCAAAAATGAAATTTAAAAAAATATTATTGATTGCATATGATTATTTTGATTGCCAATGAGAACTTTCCAACATGACGTGTATAAAAGCATTTGTTGTGTACCGTACCTTATTTTGTTTATTAATTAAGTATTTGCTTATCAAAATTAAACTTATTTTTGAATTGACTATGCGGAAAAGGAAGGACTTCAATGTTTCATTTCTTTTAGACGTCGAGTTGGAAAATGAAAAAAAAAACAACAAACAAACAAAAAACAAACCTATATTTTGTAGTTGATGTTTAATTAATCATTATTTTATGTCTGACGACTAGGGCGGTACATGTTTTTACAATATCTGTTAATTTTGCCTTCGGATGCCTCAACGTACTCATTACTTTATTTCTTTTTAATTCACCAATTTAATGTTCAACTTGAAATCAATATTGAACGACAATGCAATTTAAATTTTGTGTCTTTCTCTTTAAATTATCTGGCTTACTGTGCCGTTGCTAGACCTGCTCCCCGGCAACCAGATGCCGTAGCTGACCAGACAGAGAGGAGGAAGCTGATTAATCAGTCAAAAAAGACACTGCAATGACAACAAGCTTTGTTGAGATATAAATATCATACGCAACACTGAAGAGACAATACTTGTCAAAATGCGCATGTGGTGTGGACTTGAAAAAATGATGCTGTTGATGTTTCCAGTTCATTAAGGAAACACATCATCTTTAACATGGTATCTTGAAGCGGAGTAGTCCCTCGTGACTAAATTATCGATGTAGCCTTTTTTGTTGACCTTTAAACCAATAGGCGTTTACCCCTCCCAAAATTGAATGTGTACAACATGTGACGAAGATCGGTTGAGAAATACAAACTCTAGCGGACGGACGGACAGTCCTGTTACAATATAATAGTGTGATAAGTGATTGCCAATGAGACAACTATCCACCAAAGTTGTAATGAATTGAATGTAAGCAATCATAGTCAACCGTACGGCCTTCAACAATGAGAAAAACCCATACCGTATAGTCGGCTATAAAAGGCCCCGACATGAAAATATGAAACAATTCAATTGAGAAAACTAACGGCCTAATCTATATCAAAACAATTTAAGAAAAACCAATATGACAGACATGAACCAATGACAATCATTGAACTACAGGCCCCTTACTTGGGACAAGCAAATAAAGAATGTGGCAGGGTTAAACATTTTTGTGAGTGCTCAACCCTCCACTAACTTTGGACAATGGTGTAACAGCACAACATAAGAACCAACTATAAATATTTTCCTTCCACAAACTTCATAAATAGCATTACAAAAACGATAAAATATTCTGATCCCCAGTTTGATGAAAAAAAATATTGTTGTCAAGCAGATGAAAAAAAATTATTTTGAATCCAGATTTTTCTCATACCTTATAGTGTTAAATTTTGAAAAAAAATAATTAAATTGATAGCGTCAGAAAAACTAAAAAAAAATGTTCGCGTAATCCCCCTTAAAGTTAAATGGTTGCTCCCTAAATACTCACATAAATTTAACAAGATAAAAACTTAAAAAGGCAGATGCCAATGTGACATAATTGCAGTAATTATTTCCTTGAAAGTTTAATAAATTCAATGTAAAATGTTGTATAAATACATGTAATTATAATATTAAACAAAAGAGAAAAGTATAATTCATATTTGTTTGAAATATGTTTTTTCGTCAAAATAGTGCAAAAGTTGTAAACGTAAAACTATTCATGATGATTTTTAATTTTGAGACGACCCCTTCATTTTACCTGTAAACTGTAGGTGTTATTAGTCGGTGTCGAGAGTTGTTGAAAAGGTCTATTACAGACTTTCATTATAAATTCAATCAATCAATAAGTAAAGTAGGCGAGACATTTCAGCGTTTGCAGTCTTGTTGAAAATTATTTTTCTGATAAAAATCAGACAGACAGACAATTGTTTCTCATATTGAAGTACTTGTTGATCAAAATAAATAGATTCATGAAAGATCTGAAATTTTTAAGTATGCAAAAATTACCTGGTGTAGAGAAATAACGAATCAACTTCAGTAGAGCATTATGAACAGGAATTTTCATACTTTTATGACTAAATAATCAACATGTGAAATATTTTTCTGGCTAACTAATAATTAGATTATCTTTATCAAAGACATGTTGACCTAATCTAAACAAATTTAGATTCGTCTGCCTTAGAAAACTTGCCAATATATTTTTTATATATATGTAGATTTATAGAATGTCATTTTGTAAAGACATGTGTTCATTGTTGAAGACCCAATGTTGACCTTTAAATATTAATAAAAGGAGATATGGTGTATTTGTAAATGAGACAGAAACCCAATGACAAAATAACATAAATTAGAGGGCAACATACAGTATTCAACAATAGGCAGATGGATATTAATGATGTTAAGCCCTACATCGCCTTGATTCTATACAAGTTGGGAAAAATTTAACAGAAACAATCCAAGATCTGCAACATAACATGAAAGCAATTTATAATTCACACACACATCAACCTTTTGGTTTGACAATTACTAATTACTGTAAATTCAGAAATATTTGCCAGCATTAAATATTGTGATTGTTAAAAATGGACAAGCATGTGAGTTTTACTATGATTTTTGGAAATGCTTCATACAAATAACGCTATCAAAAGAAGTAGCTTATATAAGGCCCCAAATTTGGCTCCCTATTACTAGCTTAAATGTCAAATAAGGATTCATTGACCATTACAAAAACAATGGCTAGATAGGAAATATGTCTCTTTGTTTGAAATTTTGGAATTCGCTTTCTTTTTGTGACAATTAGCACAACTTCTGATTTTCTTCGAAATTCAATGAAAACAGGTTAAAGTCCATTGGTTTTTAGGACACAGCTCATATGTCGACAAAAAGATCTTTTGACATTAAGTTTGTTATCAACTTAATTGCACCAAAATGTCTAATTTTGGTCTATTTGGCGTGTATATGTGACGCTTTGAAAGTACTTCTAACATTTGAAAATTGGCTTAAATGTGTCCAAATTGCATTTTGATTTATCTTCATGCATTTTTAATTTGGTTATCTGTTTAGAAATAAGCCATAATATTGTTAGAACCATTAATTACACAAATTGGAATGTTAATTTAAGTAAAGATTAAAAGACTTTAATAAAAACCCTGGTGTGAAGTATA